GACCGACTCCATGGATTATTCAGAGCCCCTCGAGCGGCTCGTGTAAACACTGCCCCCTTCGCACTTCTGTCACACTTTCTTGTCTCTCTCCCTTCGCTCTATTTTTAATAAGCGTCGTCTCGATACGTGAGTTAAAGAGAGGAAAAAAAAAAAAGGAAACCCGGGGAGATGTGACTGTTAATCGCAGTGGAGGGTGCGCCCATGAGTTTTCATTATTCATCCCCGTAATCGAATTAGAGCTTTCACCTGTGCCCCCCCCCGGGCGAGTGCTTTCGCAGAAAAAAGAGGGTAGCTGCGCGGAGATTTGAATTTGTAAAGACCGAGAGCGTTACCCACCTTTCCTTCTCTCTTCTTCCGTGCGTTCATTTTTTACACGGTGAGGAGCTTCTTTTTTTTTCCTCTCTTCTCAAGCCAGTGCATTCTCATGGAGATTACTGGATTCCAGCAGATACGCCCTGACCGTCGCGTGTCTGCACATCAGCCGAGCTCCCGGTATGGGTAATCCTTCGAAATATATCTGGAATCAAAGGAAATCGTTCTGAAATTTACATCCAAGCGAGTGACTGAATGTTTCGAGCTTAACTTTAAGACAGAGGAAGTAAATGTTTTCAAAATTTTGTATCAGTGGGCATTAGTTGTATAACTGCATGCGTATTTTGAAGAGATGGAAAACGTCAGCGGTTAAATTGATTATTTCGATCCTCCGCGTGTATATTGTATGTGAAGTGACTTGAATATTTTGAATTATTTTTTATACATTTATATTTTAATTATTAAAATAATCAGTATTGACATCGTGTTGAATTTTTTACAAGGTGGCCAATAAAATCATTTTGAAATCCATTGAAAATTTCGAGGAATCTGAAATCATTTGATACCGTTAATAAAGAGTCATGTATTGTGTACTATCATATCGACGACGATTTAACTGGAACTCTTTCACACCACGCTCTGCTGGAGTTGTTTAAAGCCCGTGATGGTGGTGGTGGTGGTAACCTTTTTGATCTTCTGTGGATCAATCAAAGGGAATTGGTTTTATCTATACATACACTTGGTTTGAGCTGAGCGTAAAACTCAAACAAAGTTTTTACATGAAACTGTTTTTTTTTCCCCAATGTATACTCATATAAATGGTCAACCTTTGATTCGCGATTTCTATATTTGAAAACAGGAAAAAAAATGTATCTGCTCCGCTTTTATTTGTAGATATCCTCAAAGATAAATGAAGTTGATCAAAGGAATATGGGGTTGAAGTGTAATTAGTGGCACATTTTCGTCAATAAAAATGCGATAATCCAACGCTTTGGCAATAAACTTTTTCAAATAGACAATCATTCCGTATTGATGAGTTTTTTTTTTTTTTTTATGATATTCAATGCAGAAAAAAAAGTAACCCAAGGAATAGTATCAGTCAAATAAAACATCGGCTTGATGAAATAATGAAATTTGGTTATTTAAGCTTTTAAATAGTTCTTGATTAAGTACTTTATTTGAGTTTTATTATTATTACTACTATTGAAACGCGATTCTTCGCAATTAACTTAAATGAGGAACTATATTTACAAATATTGAGCCCTTCTTAAATCATACCAATCAAGTAATAAAAAAATAGTAAGGTACTAAACTATAGGAAAATGTTTAATAATTTGTAAAGACTCATTTAATAAAATTTGTAAATTTTCATTAAATTTATACTTGAAAATAATGACAATAAGGTTTCCGGAAAAACGAAATGTTAACTTTATCCAAAATAAATTGGAAAATCGTGAAACCGAGGTACAGGTTTATAAATTGTAGAAAACCACTTGATCTTTGGAAAATACTATCAAACAATAAAAAAAATTTCTGATAAAACAAAATAAAATTATTTATGAAGTATTAAAAAAATGTTCATCATTTAAAGACTGTTTGCTTACACTCAAGGAGGTAAGAAAAAACACACAAATTATACATTCAAATTTTTCAGACTTCAACTTATATTTATCCCAGAAAAAGCAAAAAAACCCAAAGTAGATGAAAGAAAAAAAAAAAATTAAACTAAGCGAAGTAAAAGTAAAATTTATCATCAGCCCCGAACCATACAATACGATATACGCATGTCGTTACCCAAAATCGCCCGAAAAGGCCCGTCCGTACCGCACTCCACACTAAAACACAGCCACTGTCTCCTACATACCTCCATCCGTTCTCCCTCAGTCGGAGTCCTTTGATCCTTTGGATTTAGAAGCTTTAAAACGCCCTCCCAGGAGTATCGAGCGCTTCTTCGCGCACGGCTTACATGAGCTTCCAAAGACGATTGTCTTTTACCCTCCTACTCCCCCTCCCACCAGCCTCATCCCTCTTACGGGTATTTGGCTGTATTTGAAGACGGATTTACCGAAAGTGAGCTGATGTACGAGATCAGCTTTTACGCCTTTCGAGGTGATTCTACGCGATTGAGCCACTTGTTAAATTAAATAAATCTCGGGCTATAGTTGTACCACTTTGGGAGGAAAATATACGTGTATACGTTTTGTTTTTAATGTTTTACGACTATGCGTACATTTTTTACGTGAATAACTCGATAACTGAAAGATAATGTATGATGCATGCATATTTGTAACACTGAATTTTTATAATAACTACCAAACTTTTTCTGTTTCTCACGAAGGACTTCTCGATGAAATGTCTGACATCTTTTCGAGACTTTTTCAGTCTTTGAATATATTTTGGGATACTTTAAAGTCATTGAACGTCTTAGATGATTTAAATATTTTTCAGTACATATTCGAAGTCATTTTTAAAATCTTAGGAGACTCTTGAAGACTTTACACGACTTGAAAGTCTTTTAGAGACTTTTTCAGTTTTTTTTTCAATGATTTCAAGAGTTCGCGGCTTTTTGATTTTTTGTCAATATTCAAGCATCAATCGTCATTGTTTGGGAACACTGTGGACTTTCGGGATCATTTACCTCGGGGCTGAAACAAAATTTCTGTATCAAATAAAAACGAGGATGAGCCAAGAAAAAGCACCGCGTCACCCGACGCAAACGTCGAAGCGCAATCGATGCGCGCAACTTGTACATCTTCGCCGGGCATGTCCCCAAGGGATGGTAAACTTTCGCCGAGCGCACGTATATATATATATATACACACACACGCCCATTTCCCTCGGCGCTACCTGTCTTCATCTTCCGCCTTGTTTTTTCGCGCTCATATCTCGCCCCCCCCCCTCCCTTCCGTGTCCCTTTTATTACCCCAAGTACAACAGTAGCAGCAAGAAACTCTCGGCTGCCGCCCCAACTTTTCATTATTCTTCGCTACACGCATTTACCTATATATATACTCACGCTCGTCTTTTTCGTCCTGCAACTTATACATGTATATACATGTATGGTCACGGACTGAGGAAAAACGTATCTCCGCCCGAATACATCGGCTAATTAAGTGACTCCCTGCCGGAGTTGCGCCAACTTCCGCGTCCACCTACAACGACTTTTTTTTTTTTTTTTTACCCTCGTGTCGCGTGAATTCGGAATCGGAGAAACTTTCCTGGAAAAAGTTCCTTTGGACTGTTCGTGAAGAACAACGCCGAACTGGCTAATACAACAGTATACGCGCCGCTGGGGGGAAAAGGAAAATCAAAACTAACCGAGCGCGGGAGGGAAAAAAAAAAGATGGAGCAGTAGAAGAGATCAGCGTAGCGTCAGCCCGACTGTCGATCTCGTACATCCGCGGTGAAGCTCCGCGTTTTTGCAAAATGAAAACTCGGGGGAAAGTTCGGGAAAGACTCGTTCTTGGTTGTGGATTTTCCTTCGGCTGTGCGTTGTCGGGGAGGATCAAACGTATACATATATATGTGTGTGTACGAGTGACGTGAGCTTGGAATTGCTCGTCGTGCGCGTGAGCGTGTCGTTTATCATCGAGGCGTGTGATAAGAAAAAGGAGCACTTGCCTGGGTTTAACGAGCAACGATTTTTTTCCCCGCGTCCCGGGAAAAGAGACAAAGTGGACGATGTTGCATGTCGCACGTGTATGATATGACGTCGTTTTCACGAAAGGTTGCACTTGTATGAGAGAGAAACTGGGGATAGTGTCTCAAGCTTGGATGATTGGGTGAGAAAATTCATAACAAGAGGTGGAAGGTGAGGCATTGATGTTTAGGGGAACTGCCCTACACGATACACGGAGGTTGAAGTATACCACTTGTGTATTATCCTTCCGAATCAAGAATTCAAGTTTTGGAAGGGGCCATCAAACGATTTTTTTATCTCAAGATGTCGTGAATTGTTTGGAAAGTTGTGGCGTTATCTTGAAAGTTCCAAAAAATTACGACCATTTTGGGGAACAAGAGGTATTCTTTGGATTCTTTTTTCTTTTGACACCGTTGATATTTGTTTATCCAAGTACTGTGAGTTTTTTGTTGCATACGTATCGTTAACTGGAGGTGTACCTAAATTTTATCAAAGTCGTGTTATGTTCAACCATGGATTTTTTATTGTGATTCATGAAAGTACTATATGAGATATCATCGCAAAAGAACGCATATTTCGATAAATTTATAGTCAGACTTGGGCACAGTTATTTTATGGATGTTTCAGTACTACGGAAGAATTTTGAAAAAATATCCGTGTCCAAATCTCTTTTTATAGTCAAATAAGTAAAGTTTACCACATTTGAGAAACAGTATATGGCACAACTGATCATCTACAATCACATTAATATTCCAACTGTTCTACGAGGTGACCAAGCGAACCTCGGTGTAATTCTTTGATTCACCATATTTTTCCGATAATAATATAACAACAGTAATAGTAGTAATAATAATAATAAAAGTAATCTTACATTTACTCATAAATTACATATTAAACGTTCTTTCAAACCCCCAATAATACAGACAAAAGGGACTCGATAGTAGTGACATCTAGCCCTATTATTTAAAAAATCTCAAAATAATGACAATTCAAAATTATATAAAGTAATCAAAGTAAGTGAAAAAAAAACAAAATTTTTTGATTGCAGGCACCTGCCCATCAGGTAATAGAGTACCCAGCTCGCAGGGACGAAGTACCGGTCACGTACACGGGTATTCCGAGCATCCTGGGTCTGCGCATGGACGTGAGCTCGAGCCACTTGACGAGGAACCAGGGCACGCTGACGGTGGTCTGTCGCGCACCGGTAGGCTCGAGGAAGTTCGAGGCCCTGAAGCGCGTCCGGGTGACCCACGCCAACAACCAAAGACTCAGCGCCGGGGACTTACGCAGTGCTGGTTTCGCCGCCAGAGCGGCGCCACTTGTCATCGCCGTACTTTTGGTGGCGCTCACAACGTGACCTGTAGACGTCGCTGATGATACAGTCTTCCGCCTCGCGTTGTAAAGGATAAATAGAGATGTGATGGGCGTGCGTTTGTGTGTTATACACTTATTGTTGAGAGGCGCGTCATCAGGGATTTCGATTGGGGCTTGTAATTAATTGCATTTGGGGGCGGTTTGCTCGACTTTTACATGATTGGCGTGGTTTTAGTGTTTGTACATTTCAGACGGGGCGCGAATGAGACGTTGTCTAGCGACAGGATTATGTTTGGTGAATCGTTCAAAGGTTAAATGTAACTGGAGTGTGTGATTTTTTGGGGGGAGTTATCGTAGGTTAGGGATTAATAAATATATTACGTAGAGAGGGCGCCACTCAACCTGAAAGCGGGGCCTTCAAAGGCGCATGAAAGTATATGTTGTACACACACACATGCATATTATTATACATAAAAGTACATTATATTATTCGAAAGAAGAATAAATAAAAAACCTAAGATTCGTGGATTCGAAAAAATGAGGGATACCCATATATATGTATGATGAATGATGACGTGAGGTTTATCATACGCTGTATTGAAATAAGTAAGGTGAATCTTATTCGAACGTAATACGTATATACAATATCATCGGGAGTGCACGAGTTATGAGATTATATTATATACATAGGATTATAACATTGATAAAAAAAAATTAAAAAAAAACTTTTTGCTGTCCATCGTTGAATCTAATATAATACTAATAATAATGATACCTGTAACATTACGTAGTACGTTATATTAAAATAATAAAAGAGGCCACTTTTAAGGATATACAATATCATATACTATATATAATTTTTGTAAATAACTTAAATTTGTAAAAATAACTTATCGACTTAATATTAGTTGATGAAAGACTCAGGAAACGTCTCGTGAATATATTTTACGTTTGAGGTAACAAAGGGGTGCATTGTAATTTTTAAATAAATAACGACTTTGAGACCAACGCTTCGATACATAATAATTGCATACAAATGAGGAAACCAGCGATTTGATCTCTGTATGGATTCCAAAGTGAATTATCATGAAAATCAAAACGGGTCGAGAGATACTTTGGATAATCAATGAAACGATCAAAAGAAAATAATTTTTTTTTTTTTTTTTTTTTCTTTTCCTCCCATGTAATATAACGAAGGAGGATGAATTTGCAAACACTTGTCGTTGGGTGAACATTGTATCATTTAAGTGTAACAGAAGAGGAAGCTTTGATCAAAGGAAAAACTTGGAAAACGTCGAGTATTCCAGAAGTCGTTATGCGAAGAGCTTTTTAAGTGGATGGCGGAATGAAGGCCGTCTGTGGCATGTATATGTATAAAAGAGCTCGATTTACGCTTACACTTGTTTAAGAGGAGCTGACGGTGTATCTGGCATTATTATGACGATCGAGAATAAACAAAAAAAAAACCGGAGAAAATTAATTACCTTTGCTGAAAGTTAGCTCGGTATCTATTAACGAGCTCGTTAATTTCCAGGTGAAACTTTACTTTGATTATTACAGTTGCAGTTGAGTTTCTTCCAACAATGCTCCGTTGTTTGTTTTTTTTGTTTATAACTATAAAGCTCGAAGAAAACTCCATGTAATTTTTTTTTTTTTTTTTTTTTTGTAGACCAAATAAGATATTACTTTCACGAAAAAAAAAGTTTGGTTTTTAAACACATTTTTATATAAATTGAAGTAGTCATAAGAAAAAATTTCTAGCCCAACTGTTATGATTTTACCCTGACATGAGTGTTTTTGTGCTAATCTGCTTTTTAACAAAAAAAAAAAAATAAAACGAAATAAAACGAATCTCTCATGATACACATTAGTCAAGTAATATGTGATATTTTCGTACGGGAAAAAAAATTGATTTATAAAAACCATCACCTTAATAACAACAAAGTCACTAATATCTACCTAAGAGAAAAAAATGTAATTCTTATACTTTTGAAAAATCAAAGAAAAAAAAAAAAAAAAACCGTGTCAAGCTCAAAACGCACAAAGCGTTGGTCTCAGCGTCGTCGTTGTCTCGAAACGGGAAAGGAGGCAGGGCCGTGGAGTTAATTGTCTGCTGCTCCTGACACCTTATATTCGCCGGACGGCGTTTATGCAAAGCAGAAATGGAGGATATAATACATAGAGGGAAAAAAGCTTGGAGATTATCGGTGAAAGAAAAAACTTCGAGTTTCGTTGTTTGGACCGTTTTTTAAACGAAAGCACTGATTCTTTTTTTTCAGCCCTGAGAGTACGTGGAAAATGAAATGAAATGAATTCGCATTACAATAAACAATCTATTAGAGTACTTTCATGGTACACGACAAAAATACTGGAAAGTTGGAGAAAAATGCTCTCGTTACTTTCATTTCTTTTGCAACTTTTTTACTTTACGATGTTTGAAAGTACGCGTGTATCCTCCCGCTCATCCGCTGAAAATAAAAAAAAAAAAAAAAAAAAAAAAACAGGGATGAGAGAGAGAGAGAGAGAGAGCAATTATCCAAGCTGAGCTTAAAAGGGTTTTTATTTGACGTACGTTCGTGAAAAACAAAAATTTTTTCTGAGAGTAGAGATCAGTAGTGTAGAAAAGTTGATGCGTACATCCACGAGTTTGTGCACTGTGTATTATAGAAGAATTTCTAAGAATCAAAAAATACCTGTAAGACAATGTAACGGTGAAAAGGGTCGCGTTTAAAAGACAAAGTGGGAGGGATGCATACAGGGGGTGGAGAAAAAGGGTTACGACGGAATTCCTTTTTCTTCTTGATGTATACTACTTTTAACCTTTTCTTTCCCATCGTACACTTTATGCTAGATATTGCAGGTGAAAATTGTTTCTCATACATCGCAGGTAACTAGTAAATTTTCATAATAGATTGGCACAGTTTGTATCATAAATTTACTTTTTAGTTACTACTTGCACAGCACCTAAAAAAAAAAAAAATAGTGCATCTGACCTACTGTAATTCAAAAGAAAAAATTCATCATTGACTTCGTCATCTGTTGGCACAAATAGCAATGAAAACAAAATGTTTGTTCGGCAAACATAGGCGTTGAATTTATACTCATTGTAATCATTTCCAAGTTTGACGTGGCAGACTATGTTCAATACAGACAAATTTTTGTACACAAGATACACACAAATTAACAAAATGATTTTTATTATTATTTTCATGCGTACAATACTTGAGCCTGAATCATCATTGAGCACTAATATTGCACACAAACAAAAAGAAATATCAATTTTACATACTATTGGCCAACATTCGATAGCATGAGCGTCTTATTTTGCGTAAAAAAAAACTCGCACCCGTAATCCTTGTGTCTGCCTTTGACGTCAAGCGTGTCGCACATGAAAAATATTTCATCGATCCGTCCTACATGTACTGTCGCCGACCCCATCCACCTCCCCAATTATTGTACAAACGCCACAAAAAGTTACACCTCTCATTTTACCCACAGTATATACATCACACGGGCGGACGAGTCACTTTTCGCGTCCGTGAAAACCGAAAGTGTCGGAGGGGGGGTGTGTGCATTATTTAAATTTCGCTCTCTCATGCGGCATCGCGAAATTGCGTTCCAAACCCATCGCGTCTCTCCGGTACTACACACATATGCACACACGCGCAGTTAAAAAATGAAAAGACAACGACACGGAGCATACCTCGCGCGTAAATTGAATTTTCCCGTGCAGCAGCTAGGGGGGGTAAGGCGCGTACCGAGAAATCGGGCTTTTCTTCTCTTATGCATTCATTCATTCATTATATCATTGCAAGTACGTCATGTATTTTCACTCGCGAGTGAAACATTGCCCGGAAAAAAAAAAAAACACGATGCGATGTAATTCTTCCGAACACTTTGGGCCGTATATTTCCCTCTCTCTCTCTCTCTCTCTCGCTTTATTACACCTAAATCGCGAGCGTAGATAAAAATTTTATCAACGATAACTGCGCTCGTGTGTGTATATATATATATATATATATATTACACTGGTGATTCATGCGGGTTACCTACACGCGTTACGTCAGGAGCGCAGCAGGCCGTATAATTTACGTACGAGTGGATCCGGCGCGTAATTCATCACCGAATTTCCACCGAGGAAAGTTCCTCCCTTCCTCTCATTTTCTCCGTCACTTTGATAATACCGTGTACGCGCTGTGCCATGTATATATATATGCATGCACGCGTAATGGAGATGAGAGGAGTGTGGCCCTGAAACTCGATTTTCAGTTGGACCTCCGCAAGCTCGACTAGCGTTGTACCGTACACACGAGTTGGCTACGCTGAACTGTATGGCGGTGAAGAAGCAGAAAAGTTTTTTTTGTTTCGTTGCGAAATGATCGGAAGAGACGTATTTTTTTTTTTTTTTTTTTCGCTGCGATTGAGTGGGTTGCGTGAGTGGAACACGCAAGAGTGTTGTGTTTATTGTATATGCATTAAGGACTCGTCGGTGTGACGAAATAAAATAAAGAAAAAAAGAAAGAATATAAGGTACTTATAGTTAGGCGCGGTTTCAAGCGATAAATCAAAGGTGTAAATTATAAATATATAAATCACATGATAAACAATGAAATCACTACGTTATGCAATATTGTGAATTATGAAGTGTTAAAGTGTAATTTCGAGGTTTGAAGGAAAGATGGATGGAATAAGGGAGAAAAAGGGAGGACGAGGCGTTGCAGATGATATTATTGTATACGTAGATTAAAACGACAGTTGTAATAATAATAATAATAATAATAATAATATAAAAGAAAGGAATATAATATCGATACTAAAATGGTAATATGCACTTTTTCGATTTGTATGTAAATATACATTTTTTTTATTTCAAGAGACTCTAGCGTGTGAGTATTAGAGATTTTTTCGGCGTATTTTTTTTGGTTTTTTTCGAGTGGTGGATGACGATGGCGGTTATCACGAGTTTAGTACTGTATATCTGCAGTGATTGCGATCACGCGAGCCATACACTACCCGCGCCATTTTCCGTGTATTTAATAACATAAAATAAAAAAGAAACAAAATTATTGAAAAATAAACTATATGAATTAAAAATCGATACAAATGTGTATTTTATTCATTTATTGTACCAAAGTCTCGTTGATGCATCATTTTTAATTTTTAACCATGTACAAGCATTTTTGTTGTCATTAGTCAAAAAAATTTTTTTTTTCTCTTTTAAGTTGTTTATTCAATACAGGTAATGGACATCAAGACATGATTTATTTGTTTTCACTCTGCAGCCTAATGTGACTAAGTAAACGGAGCAACACGAAAATTTTGCTATTTTTATTTTATCTCCTACATTATTGAGAATCGCGACGTCCGAGTTTCTCAGGAATTACATCTCCTCGACTGTACGAAATAAAAAAAAAAAAAAAAAAAAAACCATATATCCACAGGTAAGCAACGATCTCATTTTCTTTTCACGCCCCGTTCTCCGAGGGGACCTTCAATTCCACAGTCACAAAAGAAGACCAAGGAGAAGAAAAATACGGGCACACGCGGCTTTAGAGGAAGGAGGGATAAATATAGAGGGTATACAGTCGAACTGCGATACGGGCGCGGTTGAAATGGAGTCGCAAGCTTACCTTGAACGGAATCGCACAACAAGCGAGTGTGTATTTGAGGTGGATGCGGGGAGGGGGAGAATTGTTTGCTGACGCGAGAGTTGATGGGATTTTTGAGCGTTTCCATGTTTGATTCTTATTTTTTATTTGTTTTTTTTTTTTTTTTTTTTTTTTCTATATTTACAGCCTGCAATTTGAAAGCGATTGTCATTGTAATTTTCTCTGAGAGAAAAAAATATGTTTTAGAATCAAGAAAGTATGTACTTACCAAATAAATATTCTCTACAAGTAGTATAGTACTTTTGTGTATTAATGTTTTATTATTTTGCATAAACATTTTTTTTAAATTAGATAACATAATCATTCTTCAAGACATTAGTTGTTTACTTGTAATTGTTTTATTTAATATTTCCTTCATTGTGAAAATTTAATTTTAACAGTTGTAGTAGTGGACCAACCATCAATTTAATTCGTACGTATGAACAGTATACTATGATAGTAAAAAAAGATCCCCAGGGTGTAACTATTGTGTACATTTTTTTGCTTTGAAAAT